AGTATGAGGAAAGTTTTGGAGTGGCATCTTAAGCACCTGAAGATGAGCCAAGAAAGTGGAGATAAAACACAACAGATAACAGCAGATAAAAACATAGCTGTTAACTACAAGGCACTGGGTAAACTGGACCTGGCCAGATCTCACTATCAATCAGCAATGACCATCGCCATGGAGACAGGAAACAAACAGCAACAGGAGGACATTTCCGAGGAGGCTATTTACGGACCCTCCTAAATTAGGTTATCTAGATCAAAACAAAACAGAAACACTCACAGATCTTCGAAGGCCTTTTTAGCAAATCAGAACACAGTCTCCTGACATGTAGATTATAAAACAGTTACAGTCAGACTGACTGTGACTGGATCATGGGGGAAACTACAAGAGAGGGAAGGACAGGGATACAGTGGACTTTACTGAACATGTTGGATGATCTTGACTTTGCTGATGACCTTGTCCTCCTGAGCCACAGCATTCACCAGATGAGGGATAAGACAAAGAAGCTGGAGCAAAACTCCAGTACAGTGGGACTTGGAGTTAATGCAAAGAAAACCAAGGAAATGCGAGTAAAAACAACTGGGAATGCCAAACCCGTATGCTGTAGGGGAGAGGAACTAGAAACAGTAAGGGAATTTACTTACCTTGGAAGTGTCATCACTAACGATGGAGGATCGAGCAAAGATGTGGATGCCCGTATTGGAAAGGCTAGAACTGCATTTGCCCAACTGAAGCCAGTTTGGAGATCTAAAAGCTTCTCGCTGAAAACCAAGCTTAGACTGTTCGAGTCCAACGTAAAATCTGTTCTGCTGTACGGATGTGACACATGGGGATTGACAAAACACAACATGAGTAAGCTACAGGTGTTTGTAAATGCAAGACTCCGGTACCTTCTTGGGATCTGGTGGCCCAGAAAGATTAAGAATCAGGAACTGTTGGAAATAACAGGCCAGGAACCCATAGAAATTACGATTAGAAGAAGGAAGTGGCGTTGGATTGGTCACACACTACGAAAACCGCCAACGTCCATAACAAGAACAGCCCTAGACTGGAACCCACAGGGGAAACGTCACAGAGGCAGACCCCGCCTCTCCTGGAGAAGAGGAGTAAAGAAAGACCTGGAGAGAGCGAACACAACCTGGCAAGAAACCAAGAAGATAGCGACGAACCGGAGACGCTGGAGACTACTCACTGAGGCCCTATGCTCCCGAGTGGGCGAAGAGGACTAAGTCAGTCAAGTAAGTCACAGTCAGAATGAGGAGAACGCTGGTTCAATGCTGGTTTGAAACTTTCCTCTTTGCGCCATGTGTACCATCTTCACGCTATGAGAGATGTCAAAGGTCGCCAGACGAGTACATTTGTAGAGAGTCAACAAAAAGAGGTTACTGTAAACAATAGCATGTTGAAAAGGACGAAAACAAAATGAAATGGATCCTGGCTGCTTATTAAGTTGTAAGATGTGACATGGTTTAAGAAAAGTGAAGAGCATACATGATGTAACAAGATCTGACATTTCTTTCTAGAATTCAATGAAATTTTCAATAATTTACACTCTAAACTGCATCAGAGTATCCCATTAGTGTCTGTTTACATTTCATTATAGAAATTCTTATTGACAATGTGATCAATATGGTTGATAAATTGATCAGTATGGTTGATCTTACATTCAATGGCATTTCAGCACCTAGGACAGGGTTGGGTATTCTAACAACCAGAAAAAAGTACCAAACAAAACTATGACATGGGCAATACAAATCTAAGCCTAATGCAAACATTTTGGGAACTATTAAGTTAAGGTCTTTTTGTGGATTTTCACTTAGGGAATATCCCCAGATTTGTTGTCAATTCTGAGAACAGAGCTCCTATGTTCTCTCCTAAACATGGATAACTTTGACTACTGTTAAAGTAGCATATATTTTATATTATCCAAATGATATAATGGCCATTACTTCTTTTGTGACCATTGTGGGCCAATGAATTACAAGGAAATGGCATGCTAGATGTCTCCGTTGTACTGTCTATTATGCTGATGACCATTCCTACTGTACTTTCCAGTATAATATTACGAATGGAAGAAGTTTGATAATAATGGAGGACAGTTTTGAGAGCACAGATTAAGACACAAACACCCATGTGGTTACTCCTGACAGGTTACTTAGTACCAGCTGACTAACAGCTGAAACTCAAGTCAGAGAAAGCAGTAGCGACATTTTTAAAATGTTTTCATGGCAACTATATTTATTACAGAAAAATCTCATATCATATAACTCATGGAATGGGAATAACTTGCCCCAGGCAATACAATAAATACATGTATAAGCACACACAGACACACACACACACACACACACACACACACACACACACAGACACACACACACACACACACACACACACACACACACAGTCACACATACACATACATGTATGCATGCATACATAAATACATACATACACACACATACAGTAACATCCCTACACATATATGAATGTGTGAATACACACATGCACACGTTAACACACATATACACACACACACATGCATACACACCACACACACACAAACACATCTTCAAAGTGACTCTAAATAGTCAACATACTTCTCAAATGTGAAAACCATTCCATGAGTCTACATAGCTACATTATGTAACGTTACATCTTTATGTAAGCAATACATCAATGGTGATGTAATGGCATTTCAGCACTAAGGAGAGAGACGTACTGTTCTGAAAAATGGGAAAAACAAACCTTTCACAAAGAAAATGATTTGGAAACTTCCACTGTTAAGGGGTTTCCCAGAGGAACAGGATTCATGAATCCATTTTTTTTGTTAAGAACAGCTAAATTCATACTATCAAGTACTGTCAAACTGCCTAGAACACTGTGTCTGTGTGGGGGGGGGGGGGGGTATACACCAGTGTAGAAAATCCAAACATATAGTGAACAGTTTACGAGAATCATACAAACTGTTTACTATGTTTGGATTTTTTTATGACCAAGAAAATCAAGTTGAACATGTTTTACAAAAAACCTACATGTACATTGTATATACACTCACACACTCACTGTCCGGTTTATCATCTGTTGTTCCCCGTCTTCCGAGGGTTAGACGTGCTTGCACAATAACACTGACAAAATGACCAGGAACAGTTAAAATACAATTTGCTAATTTTGAGCACACTGCACTGTTTTTTTTTATGTATATATATATATTAACATTAGTAACTTTGTAAAGATTTACTTGTTATAGGTTCATATGATTGTATAACAATAAGTGAAGAGAAATTCTCACTTAAGCATTGACACTACTGAGTACACAGCCCTGGAGACCATAATATTGGCTAAGCAAACACACACAGCGTAGCTATCTGGTTAGTAAACTTGTGATCACATGACTAGTAAATATTAACTTCACTCTAGTAGTAGCCAACCCTACCCAGCATTCCAATGCCACAGTACAGGCAAACATCACAACGATGACAAAATGGCTGCCGCAAGAAGTTTGGACAATGTTAACTCTGACGAAGAAGGTAAGCAATTCTTTGTTTACTTCCATTAAGCAAAAAGCCTGAATACAGCTTGATGATGGTTCAATAGAGATAAATTTTCCACAAAAAAAATAATGGCAACAGTAAGAAATGAAAGAAATGTAGCATGGAGGTGAAAGTTCACTCAGTCTGGGAAAAGTTAGTGTTATCATTTTAGTAGTTTCAGACATTTTTAGGTAGAATACAGATTGAAGCAAGGTAACACCATGCCTTATCATGGTCAGAAACAATGTCAGACCACAGGTACTTAGCAGTAAATACCATTCAATGTATATCAATAGAAAGGTAACATAAGGTAACATTGAAGGGTTTATTGTTACTGTACCAGTGGATTTTGAGGTCAAAGTCCTATTTAGACATTAACTGGAGCCACCAGCTACAATACAAAGGGATTCAGTGGGCCACAAAACACAGTAAACAAAACTATATAAAACACAGTGTGCAAAGACTCCACTTTTCTCCTAATATATCTGACAAAACAACAAGGAAAGTTCAAATATTTTCCCTTCTGAAGAGGTTTCTAGACCAAGGCTTTCTTTCATGGTGGATCTACATGTATAATGAAACCCACGTCTCTATCACAGATCAGCCTGCTGTGTTGCTGGTCATTGATAAGTACAGTGCATCTACATGTAACAGTGGAAACTCCTCCCTAAACCGACAAGTGGGAAAAACTGTCAAGGAACATGTACCAGACATACCTGTGTTCTCTATGGTTTTACAAGCAACTGAAGATGACAAACTCAATGCACAACAAGATGGAGTGGAACTGTTACTGCCTAAACTTGACCCAGATGACCCAAGAACTGATCCAACACCAGACTGGCTGACCTTTGACTACAACCCCAAATACCCACATCTTCCCCAAAAGGTCAGGAGTATTGTGGGTCATACTGATGTTACAAGTAGGGCAGAAGTGAAGATTAAAAAAGAACGATACCCAGATGCAAACGTCATCCTCTTCACTGAGGATATACCAGAAGACACAGAGTACTACAAGGGAGATGAGGAGGCCATGGGCATTGGGAAGAAGGAAGACTCCATCCTTGAAGATGCACAAGAGGCTGATGTGGTCTTTTCTCTTGGAAACAAGATATTTGTTCACTTTGAGAACCAGTTCAGAGCTATACCTGCCAGCAAGAGGCCTCGGCATGTCAAGTTTGTTCCAAGACCTTCCAAGATCTTTGAAGATGCAGAGGTTGAATACAAGGACACAGAGACAATGGTGGTCCTGTCCATTGGTAGGGTGAAGGGTGTGGAGAAGCTGAAAGGATATGACCTTGCTGCTGAAACCCTGAGCTTTGTTGCAGAGAAGATCAAAATCAAGTGGCATGTCATAGGATTCAATAAAGATGACTTTGAAGCCACCAAGGCAACCTTGGAGCACTGTAAGTCAGCAAACTTACAGGTAACCTTCCTCCCCTATGACACACAGGAGGACAACTGTAAAGAGATGATGAAGGCCCACCTTGTCCTGATGCCTTCTCGTGCTGAACCGTTCGGACTGGTCGGCCTGGAGGCCATCGCAGCAGCGTTCCTGTTCTTGTATCCAGCAAATCTGGACTAGCAGACTTCATCCATGAACATGTAGATGAACTGCATCATTCCATGTTGACATGGATGGAAGCGATGAACGTGCCACTGTCAAACTCTTGGCTCAGAGAATTGAAAGAATGCTGAAACACAACAAAGCAGAGTTCAAAACAGCAGCAAGGGGCAAGCGGCAACTTCTGTCCACAAAGTACTGGGAAGAGTTCCATCTGCAGTTCATCAAAGCCTGTACGGACACAGGTAAATCGGCTTTATATTTGGCTATAGCAGCTGTTATTGACTGACAAATAGACTTCTCAAGGATTCCCACTGGGCCTTAGCTAACAAATTCATACAGCCTCATGCAGATTTAACTAAAATTTGTTTTCAATTATCATCATTATTATAACCCAACACCTACACACTCAGTCAGATATATATGTTGTACGATTCAATCATCCATGCATACTAAATGCAATTCATCATAAATGTTTTGATCTTATGTTTTCTGAACTTGAACTGTGTCCAGGTAATGCTGATGAACAGCCTGCTCCAGTCCTGGACCAAAGTGCTGTTCAAAGTCAGGAGGCAGAGGAAGGTATGGTAATCCTTGAAAGTGGGTAGGATAAAAGGTTAAATGTTTGTTACCAAGTTCTTTTATCTTGAGTTCACAACTTATTGAATGGGTATATACAGATCAAACGAACAAGTCAATTTTACTAACCCCTCTTATGCTTTGATTAGTTTTTCATATATCTAATTTTCATAATCAATGAGGAAATTCTATAAATCTGCTTCATTTGATAATAGGACTATGAAACACTTGTGACATGTAATTGAGAATGAAAAAAACATCTGAGGATATAGATTATGAAAATGACGACCTAATTTGCATAATTAATGGGAAATTGCTATAATTTCATAGTTGTAATTGCTGGGAATTCCATACTTGCCGCATTTGGAAGTTAAGTGAAGGTGAAGAGCAATAAACATAATTTATTCAGATTATGACCTCATTTGCATAATTTATGAGGACGTGCTAGAACAGCCTTTATTGTTAAGATAAGGCTGTTGTTGGGATGAGAATATGATCAACTGATGTAATCCATGCAAATGAGGCTCTTATTTGCAAAATCAATGATTATTAATTGTATAATTCGTCAACCGGAAGGGTTAACATCATTTGGCTAAGGTATGAGATTGTGGAACTCTTGTTTAAACTTTGTCCAGGTAATGAAACACCACATCGTGGTCTAGTCCAAAAGAGAAAGAGAGACACAGACCCTGCCGGTGAGACAGAAAGCAGGAAAGCCAAAAAGAAAGGTAACTTAGAATAACAGGTGGTTAAGTGAACATTTCCTTTCAAAAGTGCCTGTGGAATCTAGTATATTTCCTGCCTTGCCGAAAGTCACTATGGCTAAAGTGTCAAACTTGAATGTGACTTTTTTAAAATTAACTTTGCTTAATGTTGTGGACATGAAATGAAAATACATTTGTTGCTCACAGCACAAAATGAAATGAATATTCTTTTAATATAGCTAATATTGGTCATAATTCATCTCTTCTAGGGCAACCTCCTCCACTGCCTATTGTGGTAGAAATACTTGCACAGGTCATACCCAGTGTTAAATGTCCAAAGGAAATGAAAAGCTATGCCTCTGCAAGAAAGACTCTTGTCACTTTAGACCTCACCACAGTAACAGATGAAACGGTTTATCTTCTGGAAAAAATAAAGCCTGAAATTAAAACCATGGAAGACTTGCTTGACACTGCAGAAGCAATCAAGCAAATAGAGGAATTCAAAGGTAATACTATTAATGTCACTGGGGTAAAGATAGGCAGCCTGGTCTTCTACCTGCAATGTACAGACATGTCTGGGCTGGGCCAACTCTGGTTCATGTACAAACGTGGGAAACTGAATGACCTGATGTACAGTAGTTTGATAAAGGAGACCTTACAGCAACTCTGTGCTGAGAGAATCTCTGTGACAACAAACATCAACATAGAGGACTTCAGGAAGACCCTGAACTACCTACTCACCACACCTGCTGATAAAGGTATCTTCATAACAAACACTTTAGTTTTCTAAGCTCGTTATTACAGCAAATTGTTATTTATCCCTTATCATTTCACCTGTAACAACCATGATAATATCTTTTTGAGAAGTTAGGTCTACATGTAATATCTGCCATCATTACATCACTACACATAAATGTAAAAGCAACCAAGCAGATTTAGGATAAACAATGTAATATTCTAAATTAGTTTTCATAATTTTATTTACTTAGCAATCAATAGAATCTGTAAAATAATAATTTTGTTGTACATGTACTTGATGTTGAAGACCAACCCATTCCAAGACTGCCCCAGGAGTACCCCCTCTACCAGCCACACACACACACACCACTACCAGTGTGCTGGATGTGCTTCATCTGGATGGTACAAACCTGACAAGGTCTTCTGGGAAACAACAAGAGCTGCACGTTCTACCAACTATGCAGACTGAGAACAACCAGGATCATCGTCAGCCAAAACCTGACAATCTGCAGGCAGCAGGTTACAAATTTTTATTATAATGAAATTACTATAATACTCTCAATTATTATCTGGGACATTAGCAAAAAGGCAAAAATGGTATTTGTCTCTTTCCATCACTGAATACTGAAGAAGACCATCTATCATCACTGAAATCTACACCTGGTTTGGGGTGACCATACAATTTAACTTGCAGCTACCCTGCCATAAGGGCGGCGGCCCGGTGTCCTAACATTGGACGCTTTTTTACACGCTTGCCACCATGTCCATGCTACTCCCACATGCCAGTGTCCCAGATGCCACTGTCCCAAATGCTACTCCCACATGCCACTGTCCCACATGCCACTGTCCCACATGCCACTGTCCCAAATGCTACTCCCACATACCATTGTCCCACATGTCCCTCATGCCACTGTCCCAAATGCTACTCCCACATGCCAATGTCCCACATGCCACTGTCCCACATGCCACTGTCCCACATGCCACTGTCCCAAATGCTACTCCCAAAAGCCAACATGCCACTGTCCCACATGCCACTGTACAACATGCCACTGTCCCAAATGCTACTCCCACATGCCACTGTCCCACATGCCACTGTCCCACATGCCACTGTCCCACATGCCACTGTCCCAAATGCTACTCCCAAAAGCCACTGTCCCAAATGCTACTCCTAAATGCCAACATGCCACTGTCCCACATGCCACTGCACAACATGCCACTGTCCCAAATGCTACTCCCATATACCACTGTCCCACCGTCCCACATGCCACTGTCCCAAATGCTACTCCCAAATGCCAACATGCCACTGTCCCACATGCCACTGTACAATATGCCACTGTCCCAAATGCTACTCCCACATACCACTGTCCCACATGTTCCACATGCCACTGCCGCAAATGCTACTCCCACATGCTGTAAGGTGATAGTTTACTGATATTACGCATAAACTCCTTTCATGTCCTATGCATGTTTATACAGGTGCCATTATTGCACAAGCACCTACCAAAGGTGATCAGCACAGATCCACAGATGTACAGATTGAACAGGTGACATCACAGCTGGCCTTGCTGCACACTTCCATTCAACCTAAAGACGTACAGAAACTCAGAGCAGCAAGCATTGGTTCAGCAGCAAGCCTCCTATCAACAAGAACTACACATTCAACAGTAACCAGTCAATCAGCTGATACTGGGTATGCCACAGCGGCAAGCATCTTGTCTGAGGATGACAGGCCATCTTCTGCTTTTAGAATTAAAGGTAAAAGCCTTCTGCATATGAGAGTTTCCTTCATTTAAAGAAATGATCCTCATAACCAACATCAATTATTATATTACATGATTTAGCTTTCAACAGATATCTCAAAATAGAGTTGAGCTTCATGCATGTGTCTGCCTGTTCTTGGTGCATGCACATTTGGTCTGGTCCTTTTAAAAATATCACCTGAGCACACAAATACGTTATGAAGTTCCAAAATCCTATAAGAAGAATGTTGCATAATATCCCAATCCAGTTTTAATTTTTGCCACCAGTTAATCCAATTAAATTCTGCCAATGACATCACAGTGAGCATAATGGCTCAAGAAAAACAAATTTAAAGCCAACATTTAATTATTCACATTTATTATTTTAATTATGTATTGTTTGCTTCTCAAAACAACGTTATTTACAAGCCGTGGTGCCAGGTTCTAAAACAGCCATAAAATTGCTTATCATGATGTCATTATCAGCACTTACTCGGTCCAGGATTAATTGGCATCAGAAATCAAGAACTGCAAGGCTGATTTCCTTTTTTATCCAAATAACTTTGATCATTGAATAATACCTATCATGTTTGACTATTTCTAGGAACTGTTGCATTTTCGGGGTCATACTGTCTTTAGAGATGCGGGCATATGCCAAAGCTACAAGGAGGTGTTGTGGTATTTTTAAAAAATCAGATTCTTGATAATATACTGAAATTCAAATTGTTGATGCTTTTGTTGTTGCCTTTCTTACTGTCCTTGCACACTCCAACATTAACATGTCCATAATATAGAGGTTACCTGCAAATATTCCATGGTATGGTCTTAAGAGAATTATTTAATTAAATCTTTTTTTTTCCTTCAGATGATGAAGATCCCCAAGTCAACTTGAATCTCCTCCTTGCTGAACTGAACACACCTGCAATAAAGAGAAACAAGGCACAACAGTTTGACCTGTACTGTCAGATAGGTGATCTCTACAGGACAAAACTACACAACTTACAGTCAGCTCTACAGTATTACCAGAACATGTTAAAGTGTTCTCAGGAACTGTCAGAAGACACAAAACAAGCAAAGGCCTACAGTAAACTTGGTCTAACCTACAGCATGTTAGGTAAACAACAAGAGGCCATTACATACCACAAGCAAACATTGAGTATCTATAGAATTGAGTTAGAAAGAGAAACTGACATTTGTGTAGCATACAAAAACCTGGCCTCATCATTAGCACTGTCAGGTCAAGTGTCAGATGCAAAAAGTAACTATGAATCAGCCTTGGCTGTTGCCATGGAGACAGGAAACAAGACTGAACAGATGGACATTTACTGTAAGCTGGGTGATTTACACAGGGAACAGCTACATGAACCACAGGAATCACACAAGTACTACACAGAGATGTTGGCACTAGCCAGGGACTTGGGGAGGAAGGACTGGGAGTGTCGGGCTTACAACAGACTTGGACATGCCCATTATGACATGGGGGAGTATGAGGAAAGTTTGGAGTGGTACAAAAAGGAACTGAAGATAAGACAAGAAAGTGGAGACAAGACTGGACAGATAGCAGCACATAAAAACATAGCTGTTTCCTACAAGGCACTGGGTAAACTGGACCTGGTCAGATCTCACTATCAATCAGCAATGACCATCGCCATGGAGACAGGAAACAAGACTAAACAGATGGACATTTACTGTATGCTGGGTGATTTACACAGGAAACAGCTACATGAACCACAGGAATCACACAAGTACTACACAGAGATGTTGGCACTAGCCAGGGACTTGGGGAGGAAGGACAAGGAGCATCTAGCTTACAACAGACTTGGACGTGCCCATTATGATATGGGGGAGTATGAGGAAAGTTTGGAGTGGAACAAGAAGGACCTGAAGATGAGCCAAGAAAGTGGAGACAAGACTGGACAGATAACAGCGCATCAAAACATAGCTGATTCCTACAAGGCACTGGGTAAACTGGACCTGGCCAGATCACACTATCAATCAGCAATGACCATCGCCATGGAGACAGGAAACAAGACTGAACAGATGGACGTTTACTGTAAGCTGGGTGATTTACACAGGGAACAGCTACATGAACCACAGGAATCACACAAGTACTACACAGAGATGTTGGCACTAGCCAGGCACCTGGGGAGGAAGGAAGAGGAGCGTCGGGCTTACAACAGACTTGGACATGCCCATTATGACATGGGGGAGTATGAGGAAAGTTTTGAGTGGTACAAGAAGTCCTTGAAGATAAGACAAGAAAGTGGAGACAAAACTGAACAGATAAAAGCACATCAATGTGTAGCTGATTCCTACAAGGCACTAGGTAAACTGGACCTGGCCAGATTTCACTATGAATCAGCAATGACCATCGCCATGGAGACAGGAAGCAAACAGAAACAGGAGGACATTGGCAAAGAGTTGGCTAATCTGTAACAATGCTGAATACTACGTTACAAGGCTGTCTTGTTTGATGACAACATACATATACAGCACAAAACCCCTGTTTACTCCGTGTAGGAGGTCAGGACCTCCGGACAGAGTGTTGTGAAGAGCTGATTTTTCGTGTTCGTAGTCAAAACACCGGCATTCGCTGGCATGAACATGTCAGCAATAAGGAACTCCGTGTCCTGACCGGACAACCTGCTGCATCTTGCCTTGCAGCTGCCCGACGGATCCGCTGGTATGGTCAACGTTCTCCGCCTCCCTCCCTGGCACCCCACCCATGCCTTGCTGGACTTTGCCCCTGAACAAGCAGGATGGCGGCGGCCCAGGGGGGCCCCACGTACCAGATGGATGGACGCTGTCCGACGTGACCTGAGCAACATCAACATCCAGCTTCCCCAGACACAGCAGCTGGCTGAAGACAGAGGAAAGTGGCGGGCCCTGACGAAGCTAGTCAGCTCTATGCACCACGTGCAAGAGGATTGAGTGAGAGTGAGTCAAAACACTGGGTTCTCTTTGTGTAATCGGCATGCAATTTTATACGCCGTCTGCGGGCATGCCCGTGTTGGTGCACGAATGTGTATTTTTGCCGTTGCTGCTTTTGCGGTCAATGTAATATTGCAGATGCACCCCTACAATTATGAGGCAAATTGGAATGGTCCAGAAAAACCCGTTGTTTGGAATAGCGGTGGGGGGTGGAACTTCAGGCAGATATGGTGAGGGGCCGATAAGTGGTACCACGGCAGTAACACTCGCGGTGCTGGCCGCAACTGTTGCTGGAATTTGCCAGTCGCGCTTAATTAGTAACAGGCACGGTAAGACGGTGGGGCTGTCTTTGTTACTAATGACACGACCATGATAGTCCGATCTTTATGTGAATGCAATGATTGTGTGTGTGTAATTAAAATGAACTTCGAACTTGAAGCACAGTATCTTTACACGCCCTGAGAGCAGTAATGGATTTGGGTCTTTTTATGTTTTATGGTTGTGACGTGCCCTCATTGTATTAACCATTGCCTAATGTCTGCACAGTAGGTCTGGCCTTGATGCTTGGGATTATTTTTGTTGCAAAATATAAAACTTCACGGAGGATTGTCGCCTATGGCTTCTTGTTTTGTTTTAACAATAGCTGGTAAACAGCAGTCTATGTGAAATATCTGAATGTTTCATATGACTGTGGTGTCTGGGTGGAAATATCATGTTGACCCTAAGTTGTAAGTATCAGGATAGACCTTAATGATACTGTTTAACAGAAAAGGGAATGTAAACAATAGTCTTGTTTAAAAAAATGAGACCCGTACTATGTAGAATTATCTATCACATTTCATAATGCATTGAAGATACTAAACATTCTTCTAGTCACATTCTCTGTTAGACATATGATGAGTAAAACATTACTGTCCTATATATGAGACTTGACAAATATGGCTACACAGGACTGGAAAGCTATGTTGACCCCAAGTGACCTGACAATTACAACTCAAGTCTGACCTTTATTTCCCCCAATCTTTATATAGGCCTAGGGAAAAAATGTAACGTTAGTAACTGTTGTGTTTCCTGTTTCAGTCCTGAAAAGATTAGGGTCAGTAGGTAGGGATAATATCTTTTTTTTTTCTTTTCTTTTTTTAAGACTTTGGTAATCTATAGTGATTCAACCTGTGGTACAATGCAGTTAAGCAAAGTAAAACTTGCATGATGACACTTATATTTTGCATGTCAATGTTAGAAAACCAATATTATTGTACAATGTTTTATCACTCAGGTCTCAGATAATGGAGCTAAGGAGAAGGGGTTGATCAGCTCGAAAAATGTATGTCCCTTTGATCTTGATACTAGGAGGGATGTCAAAGGTCAACAGATGACCCCATGTTGACAGGGTGGAGAGAAGTTTGGTTGTAAAACTTTCCAAAAGAAAGAATACAAATCTGCTCACAAATGTTTGAAAAGCTGTGAGATTTGACAAGGCTATAGATAAGAGTAGCACATACATAGTATTGTATACTGTAACAAGGTCTGAGGTTTATTCCCAGAACTCAGTCCAAAGGCTGGTGCTTTCACTTATCTGTACTCATAGATTGATAAAATATTGTTAAAAACTAGTGTTTTTGTATATTTGATATGACCATAAAGTTGTTATTGAAAATGTTGAAAATGTATGCAACTATATCCAAGCCAAATGTGCATTCAGAACATTTGTCAAGATGCAAAAACAAACAAACCAACATAAGACATCTGAAACCTTATAAGTAACAAGTTTCAGAACAGTGACTTACTCTGTAATTTTTTTTTCACATTATGGAACAAGGGCTATAGCCAACCTGTGTAAAATGTTACATTTGATGGCACTTCAGCACTAATGACAAGAACATCATACTGATAAAACAGGACAAGACCATGTAAAGCATGAATTGTTGAATGGGCAGTTATATCCACCATAATCAATGAACCTTCACTTGTCTAAATCTTATATATTTGATGGTACTTCAGCACCAAGGACAAAAACTGCAGAGTGGCTGAAATTTGGACAAGAAAAGACTAAACTATAAGGAGGAATTTGCCTCTCTATACTGTAAGCAGTACATTTTACTTAATTATAATAGTATTCCACATATTAGCAGCGGTTGGTAAACCTAAATAAGTGAATAACAGCAGATCCTAGGAGGTTGGGGGAGGGGAGCTTTAGGACTCACTTGTTTGCTGAAACAATTGTTTACAAGTGTGACAACAAACAGATGAGGGGGGATTTCTGCATCACAACTCAGTCAACATAATCATAGACCATACAAGTACAATTTCTGTAGGAGATATGACCAGTAAAACATGGACTTTGAAGCTTGAGTTTGAAAAATAAATAAAAACAAAAGATCAAAGAAGCTTAAGGAGATAAAATAAAAGATCAAATGCAGAACAAACTAATCATCACTAGATATTTGAAATCTTCTCAAAAATAGTTTTAGAGCATTGACTTACATTGAATAACTTTTTACATTATGATAGGTTGGTTGTAGCTAATCTATGCAAAATTAAATTTGCTAGCAGTTCAGTTCCAAGGGCAATAACATGTTATTCAACTTCATCTGTGTCGGGCATGTATACACCATAACACAAGACTGTTCAAATAAAAAAAGCAAGTAAAACTATTAAATACAATTTGCAGCTCATTTACTCACAAAGTACAGGATAACTGTTTATGCCGAGTAGTCTAACAATTCTCTTGAGCCTTAACAATACTAAGTACAATGCCCTGAACAACATAATGTTGGCTCAGCAAATATACCTCGTGATGGTTTGGTTAGCAAACTTTGTGATCACATGACAGGTAAATATTAACTAACTCAAGCAGCCAACTCTACCCAGCATTTCATAGGGCAAGCATCACATCGAAGACAAAATGGCTGCCGCCAACAACTCTTCAAGAAAAGGTAAAGACTTTCAGTTGTTTGTTTTCTCTGTCAACATGGAAAGTATAACAGTGTAGATACATTTTGTCCTAACAAAAATTGCAATGCTGTATACATTGTGGAAACCAAAGTTCACCAGGAAAGTTGATGCAGCCATTTTGATTTCTTACGTGGAGACATTTGCAAACAGAAGTTAAAGTTGTATCACTTTTATTTACATTTGCTTGAAGCTTCACTGTCAGACATCAACAACAACTTAAAGCTTTTTGTACATTTTCACACTAACTGACAGGCAATATTTTGACACAAAAAAATAACTTAGTTTGGAGGTCAAAGTCCTCCAGAGTTCCAGCATTACAGTAACTGTAATTATTACAATTCAAAGACATTTTATTAGTAACAAAATTTAAAAGTACCCAAATTCCTTCTCTGAATAATGATTAAAATTAGATTATAATTTGAATTTAGCATAATCCACAACTTAGGGGGGTAAGTTAATATGCAATTATTACTGTGATGAAATATAGCCATAATTATATACATTTCATGGTACTGTATGACTTTTGTATAAAATGCATGGTCAGAGCCATATATGTACAGTAAGTGACCCCCACAGTGTCTGTAATAAAACAGTATCTTATATGATGATTGATCACAGCATGGAGTTATAAGTCTAGAATGATCACAGCAGGCAACCTCAAATCAGGACAGGTGAATGTTCAGTTTAAAATCAATACAGTCATGTAGAATATTATTTAATAACTAGATGTACATGTACAAGTGTGTAGATCTGAAGAGAAATATTGTGAAATTGTTTCTTCTCAGTCAGTAGGTTCAGGTAGGACAAAAAGCAGAGTCAGATATGATATCTAAATATTAGAAAAAAATCTTTTTATTCCTAACAGTGTATCTTTTTTAGAATCCAATGCAGTTCTGCTGGTGACTGATCAGTATGCCACATCTAAAGAAGATGACGTTTCCACCATGAACCAACAGGTGGTTCAAATCCTGACCGGAGCAGGGAGGAAAGTTTATTGTCTGGTGTTGGAGGATACAGAGGAGGACAGAAAGTGTGCTGAGGCTGATGGAGTGGAGCTCATCCTCCCAAACTGCAGTCAGGAAGACACAAGAAAACCTTCTCTGAATTGGCTGACCTTTGACCACCTCAACCGCTATCCCAGACTCCCACAGGATATAGGATGGATTGTGGGCCATGCTGATGTCACTAGCAGAGCAGCAGCAGCTATCAAGGAAGAGCGTTTTCCCCAAGCAGATATCAGTGTTGTCACACTGACTATACCTGAAGACACAGAGAAGTACAAGGAAGAGGAGAAGGCCATGGGCATTGGGAAGAAGGAAGACTCTATCAGACAAGATGTAGAGAAGGCAAAAACTCTGTTTTCTGTCGGACACAGAACACATGACCACCTCACAAACACAATTCGTGCAATTCCTAAAGAAAAGAGGCCAGTTCACAAACTCTTTCTGCCAGAACCATCCAAGATATTTCAGGAAACCACAGTTGAGTATGTCGAGAGTAGGGAGAAAGTTGTTCTGTTGATCAGTAGGGTTAAAGAAGTAGGAAAGCTAAAAGGTCTTGACTTTGTAGCAAAGTCATTGGCAAGGGTGGCAGAGAGAAGTTGCGAAAGAATCCAACTGCGGATTCGTGGTGTCAGTGAAGAGGAGTATCAAGCCAGTATGAACATTCTCCAAACCAGCATCAACTCAGGAAAACTGATCCCCACACTTCTCCCACACGGCACCCAGGAAGACATCTGCCGAGACATGCAGCAGGCCCACCTGGTTCTCATGCCCTCCCGTACAGAACCCTTTGGTCTGATTGGTCTGGAGGCCATGGCAGCTGGCGTACCCGTCCTCATATCTGATCAATCAGGACTTGCCACCTTGGTCAATGAGGTCATACCAGAATTCCACCACTCTGTACTTGCAATCACAGGTAATGATTCTACAGATGTCACACATTGGGCAAGTCAGATTGAGAAAGTTCTGAGGCTGTCTAAAGCCGAGTTCAGTAGGGCTGCAGCACTCAAACAAAAACTCCTGGAGTCCAGATACTGGGAAGAGTCTCATCAGAGTTTCCTCCAGGCATGTGGAGGGTTAGGTGAGAAACTGTCAATTTGTTTAATCTAGTGTCTATGGTATGTAATGTACCTGCAACTCAATTTGATTTTTAGTCTACAAAAAATAGCTTTAGAAAAACCTCAATTGTATTTTTAGATACAACGGATTGTTCATATTCTGAACAATCAGTCATGTCTTAAAACTGTGATTTTACGTCCTCTACCTTTGCTGAAAATTTCAACTGTACATGTGTTCAGGTACTGAGGCACGTCAGCCTGCACAAGTCCAGAAAAGAAAGAGAGAGACACATGAGACTGAGGACAGTAACGCAGACAGGAAAGCTGTGAAGTTTGGTAAGATTAAAGGCATTACATTTAACACAAAAGAAAACATAAGTCGAAGTGCTCCAAGAAAATTTTGAATCTATTTGCACAAAATAAAGGGGTAGAAACTTTTGTTGCATGATTACATCTTTGATATATACATTATGGTATGAGTAAAGGGAAGAGAACCAGATCCTGAAACAAAACAAGAAATTTAACTCATCATATTGTCAAATGAGTAGAATACTTATCACTACTTGCCATGGGAGCTATACTTGAAGACTCCATGCAAAACTTTGTCTTTTTTTCAGATCAGCAAGTAAAGTTGTCTGTAACAGTAGCAGACAGTATTTCCCTAGTAGGAAAAACAATTCTCCTCAGTAAGTTAGAAGTTATGATGACAATGGATGTACACAATGAGGCTACTATCGATGAAAGAATGGAGATGTATAAACAGTTGAAGTCTGAAGTGAAAGATAACACAATTAGTGAAGAAGGAAAGAGGATCCTTTTAAACATTATAAATGAGCTATTCACAAGAACTGTGTTGCATGATGAGCAAAGGTTCAAAGAGACAATGAAAAGACTTCACATGTTAAAGGCTGAAATAAGGGAGCTATGTGAAGGAAGTGTACTCTGTAAGCTGAGGTTCTACCATAGGGACAGTCAGGTAGATTTTGTGTCAGCTTGTAGAGATGGTAGTCTGTCAGCCATCCTGACTGAGGAGTACATCAGCCAGGAGTTGGTGGAGATATGTGGAGGGATGCCACTCCATGTGCACATTGAGGTTGATGAGGAAGACTTTCAGAGGGGAGCAGACTTACATGTATATGAAGGTAAGAGATGAATTTCAAGTTCATCAGTCTTATTACCTTTGCCAAGGAGGTTATGTCATCTGTGTCAAGACTGAGTTTCTGCGCACTTACTTAGACTCTCACTGGTAAGATTTAAACTCTGACCCGGAACCTTGTATGAAACTTAACTATGAATATGTAAAACACTGTAATTACAAAATTTCCTCTTAAATCTAAATTTGCATAATTTGCATGTAATCATGTACGTCTCTCTAAGCTGCCCAATCCAAAAATGATGAAAAAATGTTATTCCTTTCTGGACTTATCCGCTTTAAAAGATTTCACCACAAACCTCCCTGCAGCTCTAGAACCAGCTGTTAGGTGAACAAAATGCACACCACTTATTCCTGACAGGAAAAGCTATCTGTCACCAAAAATTCAAGACCATAGTATGTACAGGACAAAAGATACAAAAGTTAGAAGTCCTGCTGCTGTACCAAGGTTAGCCACTAGGATGCCCATGTTTGACCTTGACCTACCAACATACCAACTATCATGATCACAATCCATAAAGGCATTCTGAAGTTATGCTGACTACAAATGTGCAGAAATACACAGACACACACACACACGCACACACAGACACCCAGAAAGAGACAAACAGCCACATAGACACACCGAAAGCAATATACCTCCATTTTTCATGGAGGTAAAAACCATACAAATGGATACTGAAGTCACCCGAAGATTGACAAGAGCCAAGCAGTGGCTTCCAAATGCTTCTGCTGCATTGGGAACAAAAAGTTAGAATAAATAAATAAATAAGCTCGAATTAAGTTCCCTAATGGTTCTACTAATTCTGCTAATAAAGGCTACATAGTTCTATTCCTGCCATCCTTTGCACAAGCTAACTTCACCGTGACCAGAACACAGAAAGAACAACTGATGATGCGTGTCACGCACTATATGTAGGTGCCTTTCCAACAATATCGTGCTACAAGTTTGATTATTGGGAGTCACGTACATAGTCCTAGTACAGAATTTGTTTAGAAACAAAAGAACACTGACATCAACAAAAATTTCTGTGGCTTATTGCCCATATTAAGTAGACATAGTTACTGAAAAACGACATCGAAATAACCCAATGTGGACATTTTATATCCATAGTCTCTTCACACGTCAGGTAGGGACACCCCTAGGAGACAGTCCTTTGTTTAGCACAATGAGCATTAGCATCTGTCTATTAATTAATGGTGTCCTCCCCTATAAATTGTCTTGGCTTTGTGCAGTGCTTTTCATATGCATGCCAGTTTTCACACTTTTTTTCTAAAGACATTCTGACAGACACCTCAAGAACAATGGAAAACACAACAAGCAAGTCCTCCCCAAAAAGACCCTGTAAAGCCCCTGTTCAGACATTCTTAGAAATGTTTGAAAAATGTCCGGAATTTTCGAGAATGTCCAGAAAGGGTCTATTGTCCGTTTAACATTTTATAGACATTTTTGGCTCTACCAGTGATAGAGTTATTTGTTGTTTATACAGGTGCCACGGTTACACAAGCACCTGCCAAAGGTGATCAGCACAGATCCACAGGTGTGCAGGTTGAACAGGTGACATCACAGCTGGCCTTGCTGCACACTTCCCTTCAACCTAAAGACGTACAGAGACTAAGAGCAGGGAGCATCTTGTCTACAGCAAGCACTGATTCAGCAGCAAGCCTCCTATCAACGAGAACTACACATTCAACAGGAACCAGTCAGTCAGCTGATACTGGATATGGCACAGCTGCTGCAAGCATCTTGTCAGGGGATGACAGGCCATCTTCTGCTTTTAAGATTAGAGGTAAACTTAAGTTAGCCTTCTGCATATGTGGGTTTCCTTCATTTAAAGAAAGGATCCTCATAACCAACACCATTGTATAATGTTACATCAGCTTTCAACAGATAACTTATGCTGAGGTCAAATTTCCAAACCAGGGCCCGCCCGGCTGTTTCGATTAACGAAAAATCAACAACTTTAAATCAATAATATACGCAAATAGTTTCCATCATCAATTTTGACAACCTATTTGTGCTTTGTTGTCTTTTATATCATACTTTTCGTTCCATAAGACTGCCCGACCGGGCGCCAGTTTGGAAATGTGATCTCAGCATAAAGTAGAGTTTAACTTCATACGTACATGTATCTGCCTGTTCCTGGTATATGCAAATTAAGTCTGGGCATCCTCCTTTTTTTCTTTTAAAATGTCACCTGAGCACACAAATCTGAGAGTTATTCTGAATGAAGTTCCATATTCTTTTAGGAAGACTGTTGCATACTATCCCAATCCGGTTTAATTTTTGTAAACAGTTAATCCAATTAAATTCTGCTAGTGATGACTCATAACAAAATTCTTTTGAGAGGCAAACAAATTTAAAGCATTAACATTTAATCACTCACAACTGTATGTACATGTAGTTATAATAATTATATATTGTTTGCTTCTCAAAAGAACATTATTTACGAGCCGTCATGCCAGGTTCTGAAATGGCCATAATGCTTATTGTGATCATTGTCAGCACTTACATGTAATTGGATTAATTGGCATCAGAAATTAAGAACTGAAAGGATTTGCAAAATTTGATGATACCCAACACACGAAGAGTGTATTTTTGACCCAAAAGTCTTTGTTCATTGAATAACATCATGGTTGACTATTTTTAGAAACTGTTGTATTTTGGGGGTTATATTGAGGGCAAATGCCAAAGCTACAAGGAGGTCTTGTAGTATTAAAAACATGGGATACTTGATGTGCAGAAATTGAGATTTGTTGATGCTTTTGTTGTTGCCTTTGCTTCTTGTCTTTTCACACTCCAACATTAAAAGCCCATATAGTCAGGTTACCCACAAATATTCCATTGGTCTTAAAGAAATTATTTAAATATCTTTTTTTTCCTTCAGATGATGAAGATCCCCAAGTAAACTTGAATCTCCTCCTTGCTGAACTGAACACACCTGCTGTAAAGAGAAACAAGGCACAACAGCTTGACCTGTACTGTCAGATAGGGGATCTCCACAGGACAAAACTACACAACTTACAGTCAGCTCTGCAGTATTACCAGAACATGTTAGAGTGTTCTCAGGAACTGACAGAAAACAATAAAAAAGACCAAGGCCTACAACAGACTTGGTCTAACCTATGGTATGTTAGGTAAACAACAAGAGGCCATTACATACCACAAGCAAGCATTGCGTATCTATAGAATTGAGTTAGAAAGAGAAACTGACATTTGTGTAGCTTACAAAAGCCTGGCCTCATCATTAGCATTGTCAGGTCAAGTGTCAGATGCAAAAAGTAACTATGAATCAGCCTTGGCTGTTACCATGGAGACAGGAAACAAGACTGAACAGATGGACATTTACTGTAAGCTGGGTGATTTACACAGGGTACAGCTACATGAACCACAGGAATCACACAAGTACTACACAGAGATGTTGGCACTAGCCAGGGACTTGGGGAGGAAGGATAGGGGAGGGCTGGCTTATAACAGACTTGGACATGCCCATTATGACATGGGGGAACATGAGGAAAGTTTGGAGTGGAGCAAGAAGACTCTGAAGATGAGACAAGAAAGTGGAGATAAAACTCAACAGATAATAGCACATCAAAATATAGCTGTTTCCTACAAGGCACTGGGTAAACTGGACCTGGCCAGATCTCACTATCAATCAGCAATGACCATCGCCATGGAGACAGGAAACAAGACTCCACAGATGGACATTTACTGTAAGCTGGGTGATTTACACAGGGAACAGCTACATGAACCACAGGAATCACACAAGTACTACACAGAGATGTTGGCACTAGCCAGGGACTTGGGGAGGAAGGACAAGGAGAGTCAGGCTTACAACAGACTTGGACGGGCCCATTATGAAATGGGGGAGCATGAGGAAAGTTTGGAGTGGGACAAGAAGGACCTGAAGATGAGACAAGAAAGCGGAGACAAGACTGAACAGATAACAGCAGATAAAAACATAGCTGTTAACTACAAGGCACTGGGTAAACTGGACCTGGCCAGATCTCACTATCAGTCAGCAATGACCATCGCCATGGAGACAGGAAACAAACAGGAACAGGAGGACATTGCCAAGAAGCTGGCTAATCTGTAACAATACAGTACTGATAACAACTTTACAGTACAAGACTGTATAAGACTGTATAAAGTAAAATGACTAAACTTGTTTAATGACAATATACAGGACAAAACTTTACTAGTACTGTATTTAAAAAATGGAAACTGGTTTAGTTTTGCAGTAAATTTACAAGTCACCAGAAACAGCATTTTACTGTTTATATTGTACATATTGCAAATGCTATCTGTATTGCTGTATATGGGACATAATATCTTGTTGAACATATACTACCTCACCTTTGTTGTAAATAACACATTAGGATATACCTTAACAAAACTGTTAAACAGAAACAGAATGTATTTAGTGATTCACAATTAAGACACTGTGCTATGTAGAATTGATTTTAAAACTGAAAAAAAAATTGAGGCTTATTTCTACTCCAGTCCATAATTAAAATGATAAATTTTAGATATATTCAAAGTAACACTCAATGTTGGAGATATGATGAGTACAATGTACAACATTGCTGTCCTATGAGATTTAATAAAAAAAAAGTAACTCACATGTACAATATGTGGGTAAGCAGGCATAGAAATCTGTTGACCCCAGGTGACCTGACTTGGAACATCCAGCAAGATTTGATGAATTTTCAATCTAGAGTTTAAAACCGGGAAATAAAAAAAAGAATTCCCTGAGCTTCCCTTATAGTCTGTAGATTTGTTGTGAAAATGTTGTGCAACATTACAGTAACTATAACTCAAGTCTGACCTTATCTTCCTCACTCCTTACTCTCCATGCAGTCGTTACCTTGCACAGCTGTTTTTGGAGGCTAAATTTACGGACCTCCTAAATTAGTTTCTCCAGATGAAAACAAAACAGAAACACTCACAGATCTTCAGGGGCCTTTTCACAAGATTACAAAACAGTGACAGTCCAGTCAGAAGGAGGAGAACGCTGGTTCAATGCTGGTTTGAAACTTACCTCTTTGCGCCATGTGTACCATCTTCGCGCTATCAGCGATGTCAAAGGTCGCCAGACGAGTCCATTTGTAGAGGGTCGACCAAAGAGGTTACGGTAAACAAAAACAGATGTAAAACAAATTAATTGGATCCTGGCTGCTTACAATGTAGTGAGATATGACATGGCTTTAGAAAAGATTAGAGCACACATGCTGTAACAATATCTGGCATTTCTTTCTAGAATTCAATTAAGTTTTCACAAGTTTGCACTGCACTGGTGTCTTTTTACCTTTCATGATAGACAGTCGCATTGACAAATTTTGAAAATATACATACATAATACGCAAATATACGCAAAATCCATTTCATGATCACTTTTATTTGTATTTCTACACGATAATTTACTTACCATTATGGTTAATATTACGTTGGATGGCATTTCAGTACTAAGGACAACTTCGGATATTTATACGCCGGGAAAAAGTATAACGAGAAGAGTAACGTTAACATTTCCAAAGCAGATGCATATCAACTTTTACATGGTCTATCCTATTAGGATATGAGTAACTACTTAATAAACTAAGAAGCTGTTCTGTTTATTGTTACTCAAATACATTTGTACATACACTTGGCTTCTAGGAAGTGTGAGAATACTAGGCACCGAACAAGACTACTTTCTGAAAGGTATGAAAGAAACTTTTTTACATCAGGGCCCATCAGCCTTCCCTCTACAGCGACGGAGGCCGACATTGTCTACCCAGTGTTGACGCCACACTTCCATGAAGCCACGTGACAAGTCTCGCTGGGTCAATATATTGAAGGAGACCAGAGTGACTGGTCGAAAGCTCTAGATGAGAACACTCCTTGGTGTTAACACTAGTTGTTTTTTTTTTAACTTCAAAAATGCAACTACCAACAGATCACTCTTACAGTACACGTCAAATGATATCAATTTCACTTTAATCATAATTCACAAGGACATAAAACAAAACAGCAACGACAACGATTCGTCGATATTAAATATGCAGCAGATTCTAAAAGAAAACTCAAAAGATAATGATGCTAAGGCGTCCCTATTTCTAGACTATATTTAAGTAGAGAAGAATTGTTCTTGGTTTCTTATATTCATTGGTATACAGTCGTAAGTCATGGACATAAAAAGGCAGCGAACACTGCAAGTATCAAACACAAGAACAGAGAGAGCGGTGTGGGCTAAGATAAAGCACTTTGAGTGAAACTGGACGTGGGGTAGGGTGCAGTACCATTCAAGATCGTTATGCGTCTCTCCAGACCCGTTGTGATGGGGCTTGAATCTCTCAGGTAGTCCAAAAGCATTTCAGAGTCGAGATATCCTGTTACAAAAAAAAAGGACTGTCATTTTACCAGTTCGTATTGGACCATTGAAATATTATCAAATATGTAATTATAATACGTTGAGCACATGTTACAGAATACGGCTGCAAGTGCCTTTGCAATGTATTGAAACTCAATGACACTGTATTGTCCGCAGACAAGGGAGACGGGGGACGTTACAAACTTTTTGACGCCTGAACCAACAAGGAGCCTAACGTTAACAAGCCTAACGTCACGTTTTCGAAAGGATTGGTAAAAAAATACTGAAAAGAAGGCTGTGATCTAACCGATTTCTTCCCGATCTGACTCTTGCACATTGTCAGCGAGCATGCTGTAGCCGTCGCCACCGTGAGCCATGAAGGCGTTAATTAGTAGCAGCTTGTAGCGGCGTCCCCTCTCCACGGGCTCGTACAGCGATATGGATTTATTGGCTTTTAAAGATTTCGCCCGAAGGTCCCCTACAGTTCCAGAGCAAGCTGCTAGGGGGACCAAACCCACACCACTTATTCCTGACAGGAAAATCTATTTGTCACCAAAAATTCAAGACCATAGCATGTTCAGGACAAAAAATACAAAAACGGAAGTTCTGCTGCAGTACCAAGGTCATCCACCAGGATGCCCATATTTGACCTTGACGTTTGTCTTCCTCAGACTTACCAACATACCAAATATCATCATAATCCATAAAGGCGTTCTGAAGTTATGCTGACCACAAAGTTGCGGAAACACACACAGGCAGACAGACAGACAGACACACACACACACACAGACACACAGACATACATACATACATACATACAGACAGACACACCAAAAACAATACCTTCATTTTTCATGGAGGTAATAAAGTTTTCTATCCGCTATCAGAGTCTATCTATAATGTTCTGTTTCAATACGTTTCGTACAGATCTAATATACATCATTCGTTTTTCCTTGATACTTTGGCCTTTAACTTCAATTACAACTGTAGTCCCCTATCGTATCCAGAACCGTGGATATCTAGTTCTATGCCTAAGTGGATTAGGGTTAGGACCAGGCACAGTTCTGAACAGTATCCGGAGTGAAAGAAACTACCTCCCCGCGGCCGGACTCCCTTGGCTAATTTTACTCTCTTTTTTTACCGAATTCTACGATCCGTATTCCCGTCGAAAGGTCTGGTGGAGGCTAGACTATTACAGAGAAGCGAGGAGCAGTCAAATTTACTTCATTTACTAATAGTGCTATTGCTAACTTGATCATGTGTATGTATATACAAACTATATATTCCTTTGTTGTGACCTATATATGTACAATAAAAGTCTTTATTCTTTCATCAATCCCATATGTACATATATACACGTCAGGCGCTTGTCCTTGTTCACAGCTTATGAAGTGATTTTCACGGATAGCTTAAACAAACATCCGCAGATCTGGACTACTCTCCAAGCAGAGGTTTGGGTTTTGGTGTAATTTTAACCTGTTTTTAGACTTTTTATCGTTTTTTTTTTTTACACTGGAATTTTTCTTTCACCCAACCCAAGGCGTGTGGCCGAATGAATGCCTTTCGGACTGACCAGATGTGTGACAATCCACCACAGTAAAATGGATATCCCTAATGATAATTTGATGGTTCCCGGGGAGGAGCACTGTCACATTTCTTGAATAGGTTTGCCCCGCCCCGGGGTGAGTGCCGGCAGAAGTTGGGTTGGGGGAAAGAAAAATTCCAGTGCAAAAAAGAAAGCCCGATAAAAAAACCCAAAACCCAAACCTCTGCTTGGAGAGTAGATCTGGACACCCATCAGCGGGATGACTGGCCGGCATGATGGTGGCAGGTTCGCTAATTTCCGTCTCGTAAACGGTCGTCGCCCTTTGAAACGGTCGATGCCATATCACAGAGCGGCTAACTATAAGTATATCAGCACACCGTGATGTTTCGTGGCGTAGAGGTTAGGGTATAGGTCAGGGTTTTGGAGCTACACTTTTGGACCCGGGTTCGAATCCGAGCTTGTGCTTTTTTTTTCACTAATATCTACAATTCTACATGACCCTCCCTTAGCAATTATAATATTGTTTTTTTTATGGTATATTTGACTTTTTAGTCGTTTTTGGACGCTCGGATATGGCATAAGCCATTCAGCGAAATGGTATCGACCGTTTCAAATGGCATCGACCGTTTACGAGACGGAAAATAGCCTCGGGCTAGGCTTTACTGGAAAGTCTGATCACACAAACGTCATCCCGCAAACGGAGAACATCCTTTCATCTTGTCTCAGTAGCACGGTGTTCCCCAGCACATGCAGGTACACGTGATAGCTTAGCTGCCCGGTCCGTGCAGGTCTGTCTGGTGTGTCTGACACAAACCCGGAATCTCCACTCCCTCTCCTGACGTCATCACTTCTCATCGGCACAACCGCCATTCTATCATCAAATTGGTCAGAAAAGAAAGCAAATTAAGTGAGAATTTATAGTAAACCAATTCGTATTATTAAAAAAATAATCGTAATGTATTCATAGTACTCTTTGTTGTGCTCCTTGCACAAAATGTGTGATCATAACAGTTAAAGTTATGAATTTACATGTTTTCCATTGATATGACACATAATGCTTATCATTGAAATAAAACGAACTGTTCAACGGATCAAGGGGAATTTTTGCACTTTTTTCGACCTGCTCTCGTAAATAGCAATGGATCTCAACTATGAATGTACGACCATAGTAAACAGAATATCATAATTGTAACAGGCAACAAACAAGCTTCCCTTTGAAATAAAACATGATGCGATAGATGAGGTGTTAGCAGAGATACGATTAACGTTTTTGTGTTAAGCCGATCTAAGTAATCACCCATTTGTTTGTTGATTGGTTAGGCCAAAACAATTTAATTTGGTTCTCGGATTTCTTCTCGGATTTCTTCATTAAAAAATATGAAGCGACAGGGCGAAAAAAAGAAAGGATAGGAGCCACGAAGTCAATACAAAAGGCTGGGCTATTATTCAAACATCGAATGTTGAACTTTTTTAATCAAACCACTGCATTGATAGATGGAAAAACTGTAGGAACTAGGAAGAAAAGGACCTTCCTCAACAGTTGGGGGCAAAATATGAGAATTTTTCAGTCCTTTTTTTTTGCAAATCAGAAAAAAATTGAAGAGGCGAATCCGAGAACAAAGTAATTAAATCTAGCCTCTACCGGGCTTGGGAAGGCGGCTGGAAATAGTAGAAATCGGCCAAATAGAGCAAGGCCAGATTCGCATCGGCCAAATAGAGAGATAAGCATGGCAAGGGAGTTTGTCCGTTGAGAGAACATTTCGCCGCACCCCAAGCCTGTGCGGAGTCGCCATTTTTTGAAGTCCAATAAACTTGAGGTGCGGTGAAATGTTCTTTCAACGGACAAACTCCCTTGCCATGCTTATCTCTCTATTTGGCCGATTTCTACTCTTTCCAGCCGCCTCCCCAAGCCTGGTAGAGGCTAGATGAAATTGGTGTGCCTTGCTTGGGTGGTTTGCTCGTTTCGTAATCTAGCTTTGTCTCACCTTGGTCTTGGGATGGTGAATGTGTCTGCTGGGAGCGTGATGAGAGAGAAGTCGGTGTCCCTCTTCCCGTGACTGTGCAGGGAGAACGTCAGGTTATCCAGCAGCTCACAGAGTGAACTGTACGGCTGCAAATCATAATGATAATAATAAATAGTGATGAATTGATGCAGGGTTTACAATCAGATGATACAAATGGTAATAATACACATAATAATACACATGATACACAAAGTCATGATACATATCATTCCACATTTTTGTGAAACTGCCGCAAGGGTCTGTGCGGCTGCCATTCGGCGCCACAAGGTGACCTCAATACGGCTTTCCCCAACCGAAGTTAGGTACCCATTCACACCTGGGTGGAGTGAGGAAAGTCGTGTAAAGTGCCTTTCCAAAGGACACAACGTCGGGCGCATGTCCAGACATGTCGGGTACGACTCGGGATCGAACCCGGGTCTCCCGGAATGATCTATCACTACGCCACTCGACGCCACACAAATGGGTACATCAGTGACGGTGCAGCTGACTGAGAAATGTATACCTCAGATTATTCAGTCGTCTTTGGACTGCAGCTTAAAGGCAGACTAGAGAGCAGCCGCGGTTGTTCTAACGGATCCGTACGAAAACAAGGTTAAACTTGACGTACATGTTGCCAGTTGGAGAGGTAAGGGATGTGTACTCTCTCCAGCTCGCCAAAGTTCCGTCCTTCAACAAAACACTCGGGCGGAGATCGGGGGTGATCAGGGGCGAGTCGCACCAACACAGGAATGTCACACACCATACCTGACAGAACGGACATCAGTTATGCTACAAGTGACTTCAATAAGGTTAACTTTATGTAGATGGATAGAATAAACCAAATAGCCAAAAAAAAATCAGATTTAGTAATCCTAAGTAGAATAACAACGTAACTTACCCCCTTGCATTGTCGGTAGATGTCCTTCTAGACTAATGGCAACTTGGCGTCTTTTGCGTCTTTTACCTGCAAAACAAAAAGTTCAAAAATCTAGTTGTAAAAATGCGTTTCATTCCCAAAGAGGTTGGACAGGACACATGTACAGACGCACTTCAAACTCTGGGCCAGCTCGAAGGCCTGTATGAACGGACGGGACAGGACACAGAAGAACTCACATGAGACAGACTCCGGGACAGCTCGAAGGCCTGTATGAACGGACGGGACAGGACACAGAAGAACTTACATGAGACAGACTCCGGGACAGCTCGAAGGCCTGTATGAACGGACGGGACAGGACACAGAAGAACTTACATGAGACAGACTCCGGGACGGCTCGAAGGCCTGTATGAACGGACGGGACAGGACGAGAACCAGAACGTACCTGACGCGGAGACAGACTCCTGTACAGCTCGAAGGCCGGGATAATCGGACAGGACCCGGGACACCTCCTCATGGATGAAGGCTCGTCTGGCGTAGTTCATCTGTAAAATTAAAATAACAGTCAGAAATAGAAGCATGTACTTTTCGTTATGTACAGTTGCATACATCATAAACAAGACTGGCAATGAAAACATACATTGCAATGGCGACGGTGGTTGCTGTTAGGATTACTGTTTGCATGGCACTGCCATCATTTCATAATGACAGATACAGTGCACTCCTCCCCTGAATGTATAGTGAACGAGCCCCGGGGTCACAGAAAGTAGGGCCATCTGGGGCATGCAGACAGGTCTTCCCAAGGGTTTCCAGGAATGTGGGCATAGATGTGGGTCAGAGACATGCCTGTGGGGACATTCCTGTGGACAAAATGCCTGTATCGTTCTTAGAATTCTTGCACACAATACTGTACCATTAGGCTCCTCCCTGAGACGTCGCCAAAAATTGAACCGGTAAAAAATATTAACTTTCTTACGAGACAGAACATCTGAATTAATGCGGAAGTCGACCCCGGTGACGAACCGGGACGAGGGGGGATACAAACTATTAAAGCCACGTTTGGGATTGTGCTCATGACGCAAAAGCGCCACCTACATCGACTATATACATATAGCGGCGAGAAGCAGAACTCCAGTCAGAAGCTCTGAGGACGGTGTCTGACAGACATCGAAACGTCAGCAGGTAAGAGTGTATACCGATTGTGTAAACAGAAATCCCCAATATTCTATGTTTTACCAACCAACCAACCAACTAACCAACCAACCAACCAGACAGAAGTTATGTAAGAAAGGACTGTGTTTGGCTCTATGACAGGCTGATTGGAAACACAGTTTATTTATTCACTTTACGAGGTGTAGTTCCGTCGATCATTTCTGATAGTTGGAACGTCATCACCCTAAATGTGGCCAAACAAAATGGTATGATTTTATCGCTAATGACAAAGGTAACACAAACACATTCCCTTCGGCTCGTACAGCGTAGTGTATATAAGACAACCCCTACATGCTATACATAGGGATATATATTAAAGACTGTAAGGATATTAGAAACTCCTCCAACGATTGTATAAGTTGATACCTATCTCATACTAGCCACCCACTTTTGTATTAGATTAGCCTTATTAAAGTGTAGTTGACATGTACTTGCTTAAGTTAGTAGATGCCATACTTTGTACACTGTACAACTGTTGCGCAATAAAGTTATTATTATTATTATGAGATAGACCAAGGAGGTTAAATACGTTTTTAACGTTCTTGATTAGACATACCTTATTGAATGATGTTCCACCTTGTGACGGTGTTTCTGTTTGTGCCCAGCTGTAGTTGATATGATATCCCTGCCGTGTGTTGTTCCTTATATCCGTACTGTGTACAACTTCCGCACAGCGTCACCAGACTAGACCTACCTGTCTGACTCACACAGGCCGACTTTAGCCGCACACGTGTTGGGGTCCTAACGGTTAGTCAGAACCCAGGAAAACGCGCCAAGCCTTAAATGGAAGAGATGGACACTAGATATATACCGGAAACTGTCTATAGGGGGAACTTCCTTCTGATATTTAGAACCTTGATAAATACGTCGATGATAGATTACTTGTTTACCTGCTGTCTCATAAAGAAATCTTAGAGTAGCTGTATAAGTAGAGTCATTGAATACTTTATCAACTACATGTATATAGTGTAGCGTATTGTAGCATCTATATGTAGCATTGTAACATTCCTGGCAAGTAATTTAGTCAACACTCTGTTTATTAGTCATAGAACATGTTTTGTATAGGTACAACTGCTCACTGTACCCTTCATAAGTATAGTTAAGCGTAATGTAGAACGAACGTGTAGAGTTGAAATATTTTCTAGCCAGTAGTTCTTCATTACACTCTGTCAAACACAATAACCGTTGACCATATAATTATGTAGAATTATGATAGACTCATACCAACTAGTAACTTTACTGGTCAGGGTGACATGTCCAACACTGGGCTGGTCTCTTAAATAACAAGTGATACGAGGCACCCTTACCAGCTGAACAAATGTGAGAAAAAAAAACGTCTTTAGCGTACGATCTCCACCAAGTGTAGGGTCTACTGTGTAGGATGGTTGCATATTTGAACAGCTAAGGAAGTGTTAACCGAATAATTAGCAGTCCGGTCTACTGTCTATTGTAAACAGTCCCCTGTGTCCGACTACAGGACGTCCGTTTCACTTCCGCTTCAAAAGGAGGGACCACTTCCGGTGGGCAAGTCAGGTGTGCTCACCTGGTGGGCGGAAGTGACGTCACTTGTCAAAACATCAGCGACGTATCTTGTAGCCTGGCGGCACTTATTAGCAATAGAGTAGGACTGATTTAGCCTCTACCAGGCTTGGGGAGGCGGCCGGAAAGAGTAGATATCGGCCAAATAGAGAGATAAGCACCCCATTGATTGTGGGGTGCGGCGAAATGTCCTCTCAACGGACAAACTCCCTTGGCATGCTTTAATATCTCTCTATTTGGCCGATTTCTACTCCCCAAGCCTGGTAGAGGCTAGGGCTGATTTAACTTACTAAGAAATGACCAGAAAATCTTGTAATGTCCAAATGCTACAACAATACTTCATTTTGCTGTCTTCAATATAAATAACTTCAGTAAGGAAATCTGATATTTACATTTACTTGACACATTTTCGTGATACTTGAAGCATTTGTTCTGCTTGTATCAAGTTGTTTTAATGCTGCCGGTGTTCTATGCAGGAGGGTCCTACCATGCAGAAATGTCCCCCTGTCAATCTCCAGTAGTTTCCATGGTATTTTGAAACCTGACACCGGAAGTGGGCGTGGTGGTAAACCACGAAGGCCCATAGGGACAAAAGGTCAAACCGACATTAAAAACATGTAGATTAACGTTGAGACAAGGTTGAAACGAAAAAGCAAGCAAATATCATTGATGTAAAAATCTACTTAACAATTCTTTATTATTATCTTGAAGATTATTTGTCATTTAATACATAATAAAAACATAATAAGTTTAGAAAAGAAAATTACAAAGATAGGCAAATCTAAGGATTATAATGCAACTATCTGCCATGCCCCCCTAGCTACTAGCTATACTTTGAATATCTATTGTAGCAAATGATTGTTAAACAACGACGGCATAGTCTCCAATGGATTACAGTAACGTTTGACCAGAAATGTTAACTTGTCGGTAAAGTACGGCGGGGTAACAATTCTGCATAGTACCCCTATGCAGAAGTGTCCCCCGAGTCACGGAATAATGTCTATAATCATATATCGTAAGTTATAAATCTCTTTGATATAACGTCGGCATAGTCACGGATGGATCACAATATTTTTTGCCCAGAAAAGAGGACTTTTCGGCCAAGTTCGGTGGGGGACATTTCTGCATGGGGGACATTCTGCATGGTACCCCTATGCAGAAGTGTCCCCTACACGGAATATTGTCTATAATCATATATCTTAAGTCTTAAATTTTTTGATATAACGTAGGCATAGTCACCGATGGATCACAATAATTTTTTCCCAATACGTCCAATACCATGATCTCTGCAATATAACTTTGTTTATGTGGTAAACCATGCACTGGTAATGTTATACTGTTCAAGTTTACTTCATTGGCATGATATACCACGGTAGACGTTATTTTCCTTACTTCTCTGTTTTACAAGTCATAGATAGAATTGTTGACTGACTCAAAAATATTCTAGTATAATATAGAACGTTGTATCTCTTATTATAACCCTCTTCATGAGATGGTAGACTAACATAGGACGAGAATTGTTGACTGACTCAAACATATTCTAGTATAATACAGAACCTTGTATCTCATATTATAGCCCTTTTCATGAGATGGTAGACTAACTTAGGACGACGATAACGTCAGCATTTACTCCTACAATAGAAACTTGTTCTCGTTCACTATATGCGTAGAGTAATGTTACTAGAAGACATTATGTTACTTCATACGAAGAATAGAAAGAAGAAAGATGGATCACGCAACTAAGAGCGGAGAGTTTAGTCTAATACAACATATATGCAAAAAACACATATAAAATTATTTACAAAAGATATAACCAATGTTGGAAAACAATAATCTAATATACCATAATATACAAAAGACACCAAACAAACCAAAAAACAAACCAACCAACGGACCAACCGACCAACCAACCAACCAACCAACCAACCAACAAACCAGTCGGTGTGATAAACTTAACTTTATATTTCTCATTCTTTTACAAATGTACAAAAGATATAAATAATTTTGGAAAACAATACATCTAACATAACAATTATTATTATTACATACAAAAGACACAAATAAAATTATTAATAAAATATACGAAATGTTAGAAAACAATATAATCTAATATAACAATATACAAAAGACGTATAAAAGTATTTACAAAAGATATACACAATGTTGGAAAACAATACATCTAATATAACATAATATACAAAAGACACATATAAAATATTCACAAAAGATATACACAATGTGGAAAACAATAATATAAAATAATGTACAAAAAATATAAGATTATTTACAAAAGATATACACAATATTAGATAACAAAATACAATTAATATAACATAATATACAAATGACACATAAAATGACACACAAAAGATATACACAAGGTTGTTATATAACAATAATATAGTATAACATAGTATACAAAAGACATCCAACCAACCAACAAACCAAGTCAAAAAACCAACAAACAAACCAACAAACCACCCTACAAACCTAAAAACAAACCAAGCAACGGACCAACCAACCAACAAACAAACAAACAAGCCAAGCAACGGACCAACCAACCAACAACAAAACAACCACCCAACAAACCAAGAAACCAACAAACAACCAAACAACCAACAAACCAAGAAAACAACGAACGAACCAACCAACCAACCAACCAACCAGCAACCAACCAACAAACCAGTCGGCGTAATAAACTAAACTTTACATTTCTCATTCTTTTACAAATGTACACAAAATATGAATAATTTTGAAAAAAAAATCCACCTTATATAACAATTATTAATATTACATACAAAAGACACATAAAATTATTTAGAAAAGATATACACAAAGTTAGAAAACAAAATACATCTAATATAACATAATATACAAAGGACACATATAAAAATATTTACAAAAGATATACACAATGTTGGAAAAAATTAATCTAATAACATAATATACAAAAGACATCGAATAAACCACCAACCAACCAACAAGCCAAGTCAAGAAACCTGCCAACAAACAAACCAACAAACCAAAAAAAAACAAGCAACGGACCAACAAACAATCCAACCAACCAAGAAACCAACAAACAACAAACCAATCCACCAACCAAGCAAGAAACCAACCAACAACCAACCAACCAACCAACCAACCAACCAACCAACCAACCAACCAACCAACCAACCAACAAACAAACAAACAAACAAACAAACTAAGCCAAGAAACCAAGAAACAAACCAAGAAACTACCCAACAAAACAAAAAAACTAAGTAATGGACCAACAAACAAACCAACCAACAAACCAACCAAGAAACCAATTACAAAACAATCAACCAACAAACAAACAAACCAAGAAACCAACAACCAACAAACAAACCAACCAACCAACCAACCAAAAAAAAGCCAAGAAACCAACAAACAAACCAAAAAACCACCCAACAAATCAGAAAACAAACCAGTAACGGACCAACCAACAAAAAAAACAACCAAGAACGCAACCAACAACAAACCAACCACCAAACCAACCAACCAACCAACCAACAAACCACCTAACAAACCAAAAAACAAACCAAGAAATGGACGAACCAACCTGCAAACAAACAAATAAAACAACAAACCAACAAATAAAGCAACCAACAAACAAACAAACCAGTCGGTGTGATAAACTAAACTGTACATTTCTTATTCTTTTACAAATGTACACAAGATATAAATGATTTTGAAAAAAAAATCTAATATAACAATTATTATTATTACATACAAAAGACACATATAAAAGTATTTACAAAACATATACACAATGTTGGAAAACAATACATCTAATATAACATAATATACAAAAGACACCTATAAAATCATTTACAAAAGATATAAACAATGTTAGAAGGAAAAACATCTAATATAAAATAATATACAAAAAATTATTTACAAAAGATATACACAAAGATAGAAAACAAAATACAGCTAAATTAAATATATATAACATAATATACAAAAGAAACATATAAAATAATTTACAAAAGATATACACAATGTTGAAAAACAATAATCTAATATAACATAATATGCAAAAGACATCCAACAAACCAACCAACAACAAACAAACCAAGCCAAGAAACCAACAAACCAAAAAACAAACCAAGCAACGGACCAACCAACCAACCAACCAACCAACCAACCAACCAACCAACCAACCAACTAAGAAAAAACCAACCACCCAACAAACCAACAAACCAACGAGGAAACAACCAACAACCAACCAACCAACCAAGCAACAACCGACCACAAAAACAACAAACAGCAAACCAACCAACAAACCAACATACCAACAAATCAAGAAACCAACAAACCAAAAACCAACCAACAAGAAACCAAACAACCAAGAAGCCAACAAACAACAAACCAACCAGCCAACAACCCAGGAAACCAACCAACAACCAACAAACAAACAAACAAACAAACAAACGAACAAACCAACAAACCAACCAACGAACCAGGAACCAAACCAACAACCAACCAACAAACAAACAAGCAAACAAACAAAAAAACCAACCAACGAGCAAACAAACCATTCAACCAACAAACCAACCAACGATCCAACAAACAGCCAACAAACAAACCAGTCGGTTTGATAAACTAAACTTTATATTTCTCATTCTTTTACAAATGGACAAAAGATATAAATAATTTTGAAAAAATACATCTTATATAACAATTATTAATATTACATACAAAAGTACACATAAAATCATTTACAAATTAAAGATATACATCTGAAAACAATACATCTAATATGACATCATATACAAAAGACACATATAAAATTATTTCCAAAAGATATACACAAATTTAGAAAACAAAATACATCTAAATAACATAATATACAAAAGACACATATAAATTTATTTACAAAAGATATACACAATGTAAGAAAAAATACATCTAATATAAAATAATATACAAAAGAGACATTAGAAATTATTTGCAAAAGAGTTACAAAAAGATAGAAAACAAAATACAGCTAATATAACATAATATACAAAAGACACATAAAAATTATTTACAAAAGATGTACACAAAGATAGAAAACAAAATACAGCTAATTCAACATGATATACAAAAGAAACATATAAAATAATTTACAAAAGATACACACAATGTTGGAAAACAATAATCTAATATAACATAATATACAAATGACATCCAACAAACCAACCAACAACAAACAAACCAATTAACAAACCTAGCCAAGAAACAAACACACAAACAACCAACAAACCAAAAAACAAACAAACCAACCAACAACAAACCAACAAACCGACAAACAGCAAACCAAAAACCAACCAACAAAGAATCCACCCAAAAAAACAAACAGGGCAACAATCCAACCAACCAAGAAACCAAAAAACAACAAACCAACAAACCAACCAGCAAACCAAGAAACCAACCAACAACAAACCAACCAGCCAACAACCCAAGAAACCAACCAATCAACAACCAACCAACCAGCCAACCAACCAACCAAAAAAACCAACCAGCCAACAACTTAAGAAACCAACCAACAACCAACCCACCAACCTACCAACCAACAAACCAACCAGCCAACAACCCAAGAAACCAACCAATCAACCAACCAACCAACCAACCAACCTACCAACCAACAACAAACCAACCAACCAACCAACAAACAAACAAACAAACAAACAAACAAACAAACAAACAAACCAAGCCAACAAACCAACAAACCAACATACAAACAAACCACGCAACTAACCAAAAAAACAATCCAAGCAACGGACCAACCAATAAACCAACCACCAATTTAACAAATAAGAAACCAACAAACCAACAAACCAAACAACAACCAACCAACCAACAAACCAGTCGGTGTGATAAACTAAACTTACATTTCTCATTCTTTTACAAATGTACACAAGATATAGATAATTTTGAAAGAAATACATCTTATATAACAATTATGAATATTACATACAAAAGACATATGCATTATATACAATGTTGAAAAAGAATACATCTAATATAACATAATATACAAAAGACACATAAAATTATTTACAAAAGATATACACAAAGTTAGAAAACAAAATACATCTAATAATACATAATATACAAAAGACACATATAAAATTATTTACAAAAGATATAAACAATGTTGGAAAACAATACATCTAATATAATATAACATACAAAATACACATGTAAAATTATTTATAAAAGAAATACACAATATTAGAGAACAAAATACATCTAATATAACACAATATACAAAAGACAAAAAATTATTTAAAAAAGATGTACACAATGTTGGAAAATAATACATCTAATATAATATAACATGCAAAATACTCATGTATAATTATTTACAAAAGAAATAAACAATTTTGGAAAAAATAATCCAATAACATAATATCCAAAAGACAGCCAATAAACCAACCAACAACAAACCAAGAAAACACCCAACAAACCAAAAAACAAACCAAGCAACGGACCAACCATAAAAACAACCAATCAACAAACAAACAAATAATCCAACCAAGAAACCATCCAACAACAAACCAGCTAACCAACAAGCCAAAAAACCTACAAACCAACCAACCAAGCCAAACCACCACACAAACCACCCATTAAACTAAAAAACAAACCAAGGAATGGACCAACAAACAAACAAACCAGCCAACAACCCAAGAAACCAAGCAACAACCAACCAACCAACCAACAAACAAACAAACCAACAAACAAGCAAACCAGCCAACAACCCAAGAAACCAACCAACAACCAACCAACCAACCAACCAACCTACAAACAAGCTAAAAATCCAAGGCAACAAACCACCCAACAAACAAACAAACATACAAACCAACGAACCAACAAACCAAAAAACAATCCAAGCAACGGACCAACCAACAAACTAACTAACCAATAAACAAACCAACTAACAAACAAACAACCAACAAATAAACAAGTCGGTGCGATAAACTAAACTTAACATTTGTCATTCTTTTACAAATGTACACAAGATATAAATAATTTTGCAAAAATACATCTTATATAACAGTTATTAATATTACATACAAAAGACACCTAAAATTATTTACAAAAGATATACACAATGTGGGAAAACAAAATACATCTAATATAACATAATATACAAAAGACACATATAAAATTATTTACAAAAGATATACACAAAGATAGAAAACAAAATACATCTAATATAACATAATATACAAAACAAACATAAAATTATTTACAAAAGATATACACAATGTTGCAAAACAATAATCTAATATAACATGATATACAAAAGACATCCAACAAACCAACAAACAACAAACCAAGCCAAGAAACCAACCAACCACCCAACAAACCAAACAATAAACCAAGCAACACACCAACCAACCAACCAACAAACCAAAAAACAAACCAAGCAAAGCACCAACCAACCACCCAACAAACCAAGAACAAACCAACAACCAACAAACCAAAAACAAACTAAGCAACGCACCAACCAACCACTCAACCAACCAACAAACCAAGCAACGCACAAACCAACCAAAAAAACAAACCAAGCAACGCACCAACCAACCAACCAACAAACCAAAAAACAAACCAAGCAACGCACCAACGAACGAACCACCAAACCAAAAAAACAAACCAAGCAACGCACCAACCAATCACCTAACAAACCAAAAACAAACCAAGACAACGCACCAAAAACCAACCAACAACTCAAAAACAAACCAAGCAACGCACCAACCAACCACCCAACAAACCAAAAAACAAACCAAGCAACGCACCAACCAACCAACCAACCAAAAAACAAACCAGTCGGTTTGATAAACTAAACTTTACATTTCTCATTCTTATACAAATGTACACAAGATACAGATAATTTTGAAAAAAAATCTTATATAACAATTATTAATATTACATACAAAAGACAAATTAAATCATTTACAAATTAAATATATACATAATGTTGGAAAACAATACATCTAATATAACATAATATACAAAAGACACATATAAAATTATTTACAAAAGATATACACAAAGTTAAAAAAACAAAATACATCTAATATAACATAATATACAAAAGACACATATAAAACCATTTACAAAAGATATACACAATGTTGGAAAAAAATCTAATAATATAATATACAAAAGACATACATAAAATTATTTACAAAAGATATACACAATGGTGACAAACAATAATCTAATATAACATAATATACAAAAGACATCCAAGAAACCAACCAACAACAAACCAACCAACCAACAAGCAAACCAACCAACAAACAAACCAACCAACCAACAACAAACCAACCAACCAACAAGCAAACCAACCAACAAACAAAGGCAGGCAAGAAACCAACAAACAAACCAACAAACCACCCAGCAAACCAAAAAACAGGGCAACAAACCAACCAACCAACAAACCAACCAAGAAACCAAACAATAACAAACCAACAAACCAAAGAACAAACTAACAAACCAACCAACAACAAACCAACCAACAAACCACGAAAGCAACCAGCAACAAACCAACAGACCAATCAAGCAACCAAAAAACAAACCAAGCCAAGAAACCAACGAACAAACTAACCAACCAACAAACCAAGAAACGAACCAACCAACAAGCCAAGAAACCAACCAACCAACAACGAACCAACAATCCAACCAACAAACCAACCAACCAACAAATCAACAAAGAAACCAACAAACCAACCAACCAACAAACCAACCAACCAACAAACCAACAAACAAAACAAGCAACGGACTAACAAACTAACCAACCAACCAAGAAACCAACCAACAACCAACCAACCAACCAACAAACAAACAAATCAAGAACCAACCAACAAACCCAAAAACCAACCAACAAATCAAGAAACCAACAAACAAGCAAACCCAAAAACCAACAAACAAACCAAGGCAAGAAACCAATAAACAAACAACCCAACAAACCAAAAAGCAAACCAAGCAATGAACCAACAAACGACCCAACAAACAAACAAATAAACCAACCAAGAAACCAAAAAACAAACCAACCAGTCGATGTAATAAACTAAAATTTCTCATTCTTTCACAAATGTACACAACATATAAATAATTTTGAAAAAAATATATTTCATATAACAATTATTAATATTTCATACAAAAGACACGTAAAATAATTTACAAAAGATATACACAATGTTGGAAAACAATATATCTAATATAACATAATATACAAAAGACACATATAAAATTATTTACAAAATATATACACAATGTTGGAAAACAATAATCTAATATAATAAATTATACAAAAGACACATATAAAAATATTTACAATAGATATACACAAAGTTAGAAATCAAAATACATCTAATACAACATAATAAACCAACATACAGATATAAAACTATTTACAAAAGATATACACAATGTTGGAAAACAATAATCTAATATAACATAATATACAAAAGACATCCAACAAACCAACCAACAACAAACCAAAAAACAAACCAAGCAACGCACCAACCAACCACCCAACAAACCAAGAAGAAACCAACTACAAACAAACCAAAAACCAAACCAAGCAACGCACCAACCAACCAACAAACCAAAAAGTAAACCAAGCAACGCACCAACCAACCAACCAACAAGCCAAGAACAAAGCAACCAACAAACAAAAAAACAAACCAAGCAACGCACCAACCAACCACCCAACAAACCAAGCAACGCAACAACCAACCAACCAACCAACCAAAAAACAAACCAAGCAACGCACCAACCAACCACCCAACAAACCAAAAAACAAACCAAGCAACGCACCAACCAACCACCCAACAAACCAAAAAACAAACCAAGCAACGCACCAACCAACCACCCAAGAAACCAAGCAACGAACCAATCAACCAACAAACAAACCAAAAAACAAACCAAGCAACGCACCAACCAACAAACCAACAAACCAAAAAAACAAACCAAGCAACGCACCAACCAACCAACCAACAAACCAAAAAACAAACCAAGCAACGCACCAACAAATCAAACAACCAAGAACAAACCAAGCAACACACCAACCAACCAAACAACAAACCAAAAAAACAAACCAAGGAACGCACTAACCAATCAAACAACCAACCCTGAACAAACCAACCACCCAACAAACCAGTAAACCAAGAAACCAACTAAGAAACGAACCAACAACCAACCAACCGACAACCCAACCACAAACCAACAACCAGCAAACCAGCCGACCAACAAACAAACCAACATACCAACAAACCAAGAAACCAACAAACAAAAACCAACCAACCAACAAACCAAAAACCAACCAACAAGAAACCAAACAACCAAAAAACCAAGAAGCCAATCAACAACAAACCAACCAGCCAACAAACTAGGAAACAAACCAACAACAAACCAACCAACCAACAAACAAAGAAACCAACAAACAACCAACAAACCAGTCGGTTTGATAAACTAAACTTTACATTTCTCATTCTTTCACAAATGTACACAAGATATAGATAGTTTTGAAAAAAAATCTTATATAACAATTATTAATATTACATACAAAAGACATAAAATAGTTTACAAATTAAAGATATACATAATGTTGGAAAACAATACATCTACTATAACATTATTTACAAAAGATATACACAAAGTTAAAAAACAAAATACATATCATATAACATAATATATAAAAGACACATATAAAACAATTTACAAAAGATATACACAATGTTGGAAAAAAATCTAATAACATAATATACAAAAGACATATGTAAAATTATTTACAAAAGATATACACAATGTTGAAAACAATAATCTAATTTAACATAATATGCAACCAACCAACCAACCAACAAGCTAAGAAACCAAGAAACCAAGCAACGGACCAACATACAAAAACCAACCAACCAACAAACAAACCAAGAAACCAACCAACTTCAAACCAACCAGACGAACAACCCAAGAAACAAACCAACAACAAACCAACCAACCAACAAACTTTCCAGTCAACAACCCAAGAAACCAACCAACAACCAACCAACTAACCAACCAATTAACAAACCAACAACCAACCAACCAACCAAACAACAAACAAACCAACAAACCAAGAAACCAACAAACAAAAACCATAATATACATAATATACATAATATACAAAAGACACATATAAAATTATCTACAAAAGATATACACAAAGTTAGAAAACAAAATACATCTAATATTACATAATATACAAAAGACACATATAAAATTATTTACAAAAGATAT